AAGGCAAAGGTCCAAGTCCTACAAACACATGGCAAAGTCTATTGAATGATACATCTCAAAACAAGTCTAACATGCATGCAAATGATTTTGGAAAACCTACTGGGCACCAACCAGGTCTAAGCCGAGGTGTGTTTCCGAGGGCCTCATCTATAATTCTCTCATATATAAAAAAATATAAAAAAAATTAACTTTTAACTAATTTTTCAAAATAAACCAAATTAATTTCTTAAATTATTGGTTCTCGGCTAGGAAAGACAACACTTGACTAAGCTGTGCCACACCTTGGCCTAGATGTGCCACACCTTGGTCTAGGTCACACCACTCTAGGACAAGATCACTTAAGTGCAAAGGTAACATCTCGGCCTAGATAATACACATCTTAGCCTTGGTGATGAACACCTCGGCCTAGATAGTGACATCTCGGCCAATATGTCGAGGCAAAGGTGGAGGTCAAACAAAGGGGTTCCAAGATAAATTCTAGACTAAAGATGACCTCGGCTTAGAATGATCTAGGCGTAACATGACCTAGGCTTAATATAACTGGGAAAGGACAAGGCATGCAAACAACACTTAGACATAACACATAAACACAAAGCAAGACAAGATTCATGAATGCAAACTTAACAAGACAAAACTATGTAAATAAACATGAACATGACTATAACATGAGTATGGGTTGTTACAGCAACTTAACATGGCAAAACATATAAATGCATGCAAGCATGATTAGGACATGAATGTGGGTTGTTACATCATTCCCCCCATAAAGAAGTTTGGTCCCCAAACTTCACTTACCTTGTTCCCAAAATAATATCCGAACATCGGGTTCTCATCTCTTCTTACCATCTCTAGCTTTCACCTTGGGACAATCCTTAATGCAATGACCCATCTCACCGCATCCAAAACATGCTCCAGATGCTCGATGACAAACTCCAAAATGTCGCCTCCCGCAACTTGTACATGTCGGCCTGGCGTCACCTTTCTGATTTGCGCTGTTAGGACTGTCCACCTTTGTCTCCTCCTCGGCATCAGTCGGGTCTGCTTCTTCTTCGCGATTGTCATAGGTCTGCCTCTTCTTTTGATTCTTCTCCGAACTTTGACTTCTGTTCAGGTTGGTTTCTGCAAGGATGACTTTATCTAATACTCCAGCATACGTCGGCATGTTGAGTAAATTAACCTGATCTTGTATCGGCCCTCGGAGTCCACTCTCAAACTTCCTAGCTTTTCTGTATTCGTTGTCGACCATGTGAAGTGCATACCTTGCCAACTCGGTGAAAGCACGATCATACTCTGTCACCGTTTTGCTACCCTGTGTCAACATCTGAAATTCTGTAGTCTTGTGATCTTGGACACTGAGTGGGAAATGCTTATCATAGAACAACTCCAAAAATCTGGCCCAAGTCAAGTTTGGGTTACCTTCTCGGATCATCATCCATCATCTACGAGCGTCGTCTTCCAAGGTGAATGCTGCCAGTGACACCTTCTGGGCGTCGGTGCTAGGAAAAACCTCGAACAACTTCTCCATCTCAAGAACCCATGCTTCTGCTTTCGTCGGCTCTATACCTCCGTGGAACTTCGGCGGCTTCATCTTCTTGAATTCTCTGATCAGGGTCAATGTGTCATCTTCATACAAAGATGGCTACGGGGGCACTTGTGGTACTGGCGGTGGTGGAACTGCATGTCGGCCATCTGTCTGCGCGGCCTGGGTGGAGGTGGTACCGGTGTTCTGCTGCCTTGCTTGCCTTAACTCATCGGCCAAACTTTCAACCAATCTTTCTAATCTGTCTATTCTGTCTTCGGACTGATCTCGGCCAACTGGGGGTCTACCTCTTCTCATGATGCTAGGAGTATGCAGGGTGTGACACTTAGAACAAGATGAACAAATGAACATGTATGCAAGTGAACATGATCATGCCGATGTAAGCAATGTTCATGCCGAGATGATGCACACCTTGTCGAGTAACAAGCAACATGATACAATCCTAACATCATTCTAAGGGACATCCTATACTCTTTAGGACTCAAAGTGTGTAAATAACGTACTATAAGGAACTTGTGCTCTGATACCATTCTGTCACGACCCCAAACCGCCCCTAGTAGTTTGGTGGCGTGATGGCCAGTAATCCGGGATTACCGAAGGCCAACTTTCAAAATTCACACACAATCAGAGTATAAATATATGGGGCTCACAAGTGCGGAAGCAATAATTTAAAATACAAGTGGTCCATAAGAGCAGTGCATAAGTCAAATGGAATGACATACATCTTTACGTAGTTTTAAAACTTGAATACAAATAAATTGAAGTACCAAAAACACATATTACATCTTAACAAAAGGGTTTCACAAGCCGATATGAACAAGATACATGGAATACAAGTTAAGAAACAAAATCTTCGGGATTGCCGACATAACATGTATCCAAAACATCTTGCAAAACACACATCTCGGTGTAGCCGACTTCTTGTTTATTACCTACATACATACATAGGGAGGGTGAGCTTGGATACTCAGTGAATGATATAAGTAATAAAGGGGTTAAATGAATGATACCCGAGATCCTTTCAAAACAGTACATATAATATCCTTGTCAAAGCCATACATAACATGACTTAGCTTGGCTTGAAATAAAACATCATTCGAAACTTGGTCTTTCAAAACTTACATACTTAACATACGTCAATTCAAAACATGGGGTGATGACATTCGAAACAAAACAAATCCACCCGTTCATAGACCGTCGGTGGGGGATATCTGTTCATAGACCGTCGATAGCAGATTAGACAAATCCATCCATTCATAGACCGTCGGTGGGGGCTATCCGTTCATAGACCGTCGATAGCAGAGATCTCCCGAACATAATGCTTCATGGGCTTAGAGTCCCCTAGCATGGAAGGACTTTCTAAGGATGTCGTCCAAAACAAAGCTAATTACTTGATACACGAACTTATACTTGTTACACAAAATAGGGGAAATCATTCATGCTTAACAAATACTTTCAAAACAAAGAAAAGCGAAAATTTTATCAAAACGTATAACATAGCTTTATTAAAAATACCACTCACATAGTTCTTGGGACGTCAGGGTCAAGGCAAAGGTCCAAGTCCTTAGAACGCGGATCTAACGGTTCGATCTCTAGGGGTCAAGCTTGGAAATCTTCCTCCTCTCAAGAACTCTTCTCTCTCTCTTAGAGCTTCTCTCTCCTCTTCAAAACAAAGATATAGAAATGATGGGTTTCTCCCTCTGCCGGCTGACTTAACACACAGCTCGGACACGTGGCAACGACTGGTTGGTTCTCTTCAAAAAGGTGATAGATTGACAAGACAAGACTAAGACAAAGTGTATCTAATAAGTTACCCGGTAAGGCACTCCGGCAAGCGATGACATCGGCTAACAACATGACTTCGGCAACTAAGGTGACAATGACCTCGGCTAGGAAGGACAACCCTTGACTAAGCTGTGCCACACCTTGGCCTAGATGTGCCACACCCCGGTCTAGGTCATACCACTCCAGGACAAGATCACTTGGGTGCAAAGGTAACATCTCGGCCTAGATAATACATATCTCGGCCTTGGTGATGAACACCTCGGCCTAGATAGTGACATCTCGGCCAATATGTCGAGACAAAGGTGGAGGTCAAACAAAGGGGCTCCAAGATAAATTCTAGACTAAAGATGACCTCGGCTTAGAATGATCTAGGCGTAACATGACCTAGGCTTAACATAACTGGGAAAGGACAAGGCATGCAAGCAACACTTAGACATAACACATAAACACAAAGCAAAGACAAGATTCATGAATGCAAACTTAACACGACAAAGCTATGTAAATAAACATGAACATGACTATAACATGAGTATGGGTTGTTACAGCAACTTAACATGGCAAAACATATAAATGCATGCAAGCATGATTAGGACATGAATGTGGGTTGTTACAGAAATTGACATGGAGCTGTTTTTTTTTTTTTTTGGATGGAAGTTAGTGTAGAAGTAAAGTGAAAATGATTGTAAATATGAAAGGTTAAAGTGAAAAAAATCAAACTTAAAGGGTCAAAGTGAAAAATGGGTAAAATTTAAGGGGGCAAAATGTAATTTACCCAAAATTAATTCCAGGGAGAAATTACAAATATTCCTAAAAAAATTTAGGCTATGTTTGCCGTGGAGTTTTAAACATGATTCCATGCTTATATTTGAGTGTGGTGTTTGGATACAACTTTCAAAAATTGATTCCACGTTCACTGGCAAAAACATATCTATCAGGTTATCCTCCTGGACGTCCGGTCGATTGACTGGAACAGTGTTCATTTTTTGTTGTTGTTGTTGTTGTTGTGTTTTTTTTTTTTTTTTTTTTTTTTTTTTTTTTTTTTAACACCTATTATGTTTATATTTTAAATAAAAAATATTTTCAATTTTTTTTTTAATTTTTTGAGTTTTGAATAGAATTTTGAATTTTGTATTTGGTTATGAGTTGTAAGTTTTTAAATTAAACAGCATGTGTTACATTAAAAATTTCAAACTCAATTCAATTTTTTTTTTTCAAAACTTGTAATTAAACAAATTTTTTTACACTGAAATCATAATTTCAAAACTTACAAACTCAAAATATAACTTTATTTTCAAAGCATAATTTTAAAATTTTACCAAACGTTACCTTATATCTTTAATTATTAATATTTATAAATAATCAAATATTTCTAATTAGTTTTTAAATGTTGTGAAATTTTCCCTAGTTGCTAAGCCTAAGTGAAGATTATGTGCCTGTTTAGCAGAGCTTAATTACAGCTTATTTCAGCTTTCAGCTTGATTTAAGCTATTTTGATGTATTTAGTTTAGCTTATAACTTATAACTTATAGTTTTTTGGAAGTCAGAAATCAACTTATTGTTTGAGTGGGACAGGAGATACTTTAAGAATAAACCGAAAATAAGCTTAAGCTGAAAGTTATGAGTATAAAATGTTGAGGCATAAGCTATAAGCACTTTCCTACAGCTCTACCAAACAGGCACTCTATCAAACACAAACTAACAACGAGAGAGAGAGAGAGAGAGGTGTGAGAGATGGTGGGAAGGGACATAGAGAAGATGATCGCAGTAGGCCTCGTTTGGGGAGCAACAAACGCCTTGATGCGCCGCGGCACACTCATCTGGGATCAAACCCTGAAAAATTCCCCTCCCCCAAACACGACCCACAACAGATTCCTCTCCACCCTCCAGAAGTGGTTGAATCTCCTCCTGATTTGGCAGTACTCGGTCCCTTTCTTGCTGAATCTATCAGCCTCCGCTACTTTCTTCGCCATTCTCAGCGACACCCCCATTTCGCTGGCCGTTCCGGTGACCAATGCGACGACGTTCGCCGCCACCGCCGTGTTCGGGATGCTCTTGGGGGAGGAGACCCGTGTTGGGTCGGCTTTGTTTGGTACATTTCTCATTGTTCTTGGTGTCTATGTTTGTATCATGTAATAAGCTTGTCTGTCATTCTGTAACAATGATTTTTACTAAATTTTGCTTGATAAATTTAATTAGACCCTTGTACATTTCTGTGTTGTAGACGCTCTGTTTGATTGCTCTGAAATTGAGGAGGATAATGGGTTTGGAAATTTTTTATTTTGGATTTTATGTTGAGCTTTTTTGGTACATTACTCATTGCTATCTTGTGATTAGCTAAGGGCTATGCCACAGTGATTTTTAGTTCTAGAGAAGAAAGGGAATGAAAGTTTTGATCTTTTATGCTCTATTGTGTTGCTTTAGAACTATCCAATTGGGTTGCTTAAAGAACTGGAGAAAATACAAGAGATGTTGAATCTTATGTGGGGTTGGCTTTGTTTTGTATGTTTGTTTGGTGTTTATAATTGTATTAACTGATTGATATACCTATTGTTTGTAACAATAATTTGAGTAATTCAATTGAATCCTGCTCCTTTTTTGGGTTTTTTGACACTGTTTGGTTGCTGATTAATGAAGTGAAGAAGCTGATATAAAATTTTGATCTTTTTTTGCCTGTTGTATGTTTGATCAATTGGAGAAATGAGATAAAGGATGAAAGAAAAAAGAGCTTTTTATATGATATTCTATATTCGACAAGTATTTCTCTTTTGGTTGTCTTATATGTTCTTTGAGAATTTTATTTAAATCTGCATCTTTTTGTTTTTAACTCTGTTTGATTACTGAGAAAACTGAGCATAGGAGGACTGAGTTTTAAATTTATTATATTCTTCTCTGTTGTTTTGAACTAGCTATGTGGTTTCTTAGAGAAAGAAAGAAAAGGAATTATGCATGTTATGTTTTATGATTGTTGTGTAATTGGTTGCAGAGTACTCTATGGTGTTGTGTCGTTATTCATATGTTGTTCTTATAATGAAATTAAACTTCCAATGCTATATGTTTCTTATTGCTTCCTGAGTATGGATGACCACCCAAATTCAAAAAAGCTCAATTGGATGAAGGTTTTTCCACTTTTGAATGTAAACTTATGAAAAGAAAATGTCATTCAATTCTAAGCTATTCTTTGTTAGCCTAGCCTTATGGAGAGCATTTAATTTTTTGACGATTTCTTTGCATCCAATCTGAGAATGCTTTGCAAGTTGAGAAACATTTGAGGACCTATGTAGTTTGTCTAATGAGCAGTTTATGAGTGCCATAAATATGACTAGCACATGTCAATTGCTTTTCAGCTTTTAATTGGTATGATGTTTCTGCAGTTAATAAATCATCAATTTCTTACGTGACATAGGTATTTGAATGCTTCGTGGTTTCTTTCAACTTACAAATGTCAGGAGTCTTATGTATGCAATTATTGTGAGGTTGTAGTGTAAAGAAAGTTTTAGATGGCTATAAACTTGGTTGTGATTTATAATAGAAAACATTTGGCAATCCCAATATGTGATAAAATGGGTGTGCTAATATTGCAATAAAAGAAACGAGGAAAGATTAAGAATATAATGTGATTGTAAGAAGTTTGAGTTCATTGTGCAGATAAATTAAAGAATGCGCTGGTTCGGAGTTCTTGAAGCTTGTAGGGATTAACCAGCTTAGGGTTTGATAGAATATCATCCCCTATTTATAAATGAAGATTAAGGTTTACAAGATGAGACAATTACAAGTCGAGCCCTGAGGGCATAGAATAATTACAAACCAAAAAAGCTCAGATAATAATATAATATGCTAACACTCCCCCTCAAGCTGGTGCGAAAGATATCTCTCATGCTCAGCTTGCCTAATATGTCATGAAATGGTTTATTCCCAACCCCCTTGATGAGAATGTTAGCAAGTTGTGCATTAGACTGGACAAAAGGAGTACAAATGGTACCACTAGTGAGTTTCTCCTTAATGAAGTGGCGATCAATCTCAACATGTTTTGTCCTGTCATGTTGAACTGGATTGTGAGCGATGTTGATGGTGGCCTTATTATCACAGTATAATCGCATGGAGTCCATTTGATCAATACCTAGATCACTCAACAATAACTTGATCCATAAAAGTTGACACACACCTTGTGCCATAGCTCTAAACTCAGCTTCTGCACTTGACCTGGCAACCACATTCTGTTTCTTACTCCTCCAAGTAACTAGGTTGCCTCCAACAAAGGTGCAATATCCTGAAGTCGATCTCCTATCAGTTACTGATCCAGCCCAGTCAGCATCTGTATAGGTTTCCACACGAAGATGATCATACTTTGAAAAATAAAGACCCTTACCAGGAGCAGACTTCAAATACCTCAAGATTCTCAGGACAGCCTCAAAGTGAATCTGATGAGGAGCATGCATAAACTGACTAACCACATTGACAGCAACAGCAATATCAGGACGGGAGTGAGATAGGTAAATGAGCTTACCCACTAATCGCTGATAGCTCCCCCTACCAACAGCTTTTCCTCCTTCATCATCCCCTAATTTCTAATTGGGTTCCAGTGGAGTGGCACATGCCTTGTAGCCAAGCATCCAAGTTTTCTTCAACAGGTCAAATACATATTTTCTCTGTGAGATAAATATCCCATCCTTAGAACGAGCAACTTCAATTCCTAGAAAATACTTCAAGCTTCCCAAGTCTTTGATTTCAAACTCACTAGCTAAATATTTCTTCAACAGAAGTATTTCCCCACTATCATTGCCCGTAAGAACTATGTCATCTACATAAACAATAAGTGCTGTAGTCTTACCACGTGAGAAATGTTTCACAAACAAGGTGTGATCTGCCTGACTCTGTTTGAAGCCATATTTAAACATAGCTTGAGTGAATCTCTCAAATCAAGCCCTTGGAGACGGTTTAAGACCATATAATGACTTCCGAAGCTTGCATACTTTGCCTTCAGTCTGATGATCCTCAAAACCAGGAGGAATGTCCATATATACCTCTTCTTCGAGGTCACCATGGAGAAAGGCATTCTTGACATCAAACTGATAAAGCGGCAAATCTAGATTAGCCGCTAGACAGAGAAGTACTCTGACTGAATTCATCTTAGCCACGGGTGCGAAGGTCTCCTGATAATCAATGCCATATGTCTGAGTAAACCCTTTTGCCACAAGTCTTGCTTTGTAACACTCAATGGACCCATCTGCTTTGTGTTTCACAGTATATACCCATTTACATCCCACAGGTCGTTTGCCCGTAGGTAACTCAGTCAATTCCCAAGTGCCATTCTTCCTAAGTGCTTTTATTTCCTCAATCATGGCTAGTTTCCACTTAGAGATAGCAAGGGCATCCTGAAAATGGTTAGGAATGCTAACAGAGGAAATTTTGGACTCAAACGCTCTATATGAGGATGACAAATGAGAGTAGGACACAAAATGGGAGATAGGATGTTGAGTATAAGATCTCACACCCTTCCTCTTAGCAATAGGAACATCAAGATCAATGGACTCAAGAGATTCAAAGTTACCTAGACAATCATCAGAAGCAGGAGATGGCAGTGGAGGAACAGAAATGGTCCCTTGTATCCAGTTAACTTGTTGTCTGTCTATGTCTCGGACATAAACATGCCCGTTCTTATCCTTGGTGACATTGGGTTCTATAGTCCTAGTAGAAGAAGGTGGTGCAAGAACAATTGGGTCCACCATAGGAAGCACATGACTCACTTCACACCGAGGCTCCCCTGGAAATGAGGACAGTGACACCGGAGAGGACAAGAAATAGGACTGGGACTCAAAGAAAGTAACATCTATGGACACAAACTACTTATGAGAAGAAGGGTGGTAACATTTATACCCCTTTTGAGTAGGAGAGTAACCAAGGAAAACACACTTGAGGGAGCGAGGGTCCAACTTACCATGAGAAGGAGAGTGATTATGAATAAAACTGACAACCAAAAATTTTGGGAGGAATAGAAAACAAGGACTGAAAACCTAGGAGGACGTGAAGAGGAGCTTGTTTTTGCAAGACCTGGGTAGGGAGACGATTAATAAGATGGGCAGCGGTGAGAACAGCGTCACCCCAATAGGGTCGAGGCACACTCATAGAAAAACACATGCACCGAGCCATGTCAAGAAGATGCCGATTCTTGCGTTCCGCCACCCCATTTTGTTGAGGGCTATTGGTGCAAGAGGTCTGATGGATAATGCCATGAGAAGAGAAATATTGTCCTAACCCAGAATCTATGTATTCCCCGCTATTATCAGAACGAAATAGTTTGACAGTGGCCCCAAACTGAGTACAAATCATCTTATGAAAATTGCGAAACACAGAGAAAATCTCACTCTTATCTTTCATGAGATACACCCAAGTAGCACGAGAAAAATCATCAATAAATATAACAAACCATCGATGACCTTTCACAGACATAACACGAGAGGGACCCCAAACATCAGAATGTATTAATGAAAAAGGAACTAAACTTTTATTCAAACTGGGAGCAAAAGAAGCTCTGTGTTGTTTTCCAAGTTGACAAGACTCACAAAGAAAGTCAGACACATGATGATTTGCGAAACCAGATGGAAATAAATGTTTAAGTAAATAAAAGGAAGGATGCCTAAGACGCCGATGCCACAACCATAAATCAGCGGGGGTAGTAGAAGACGTGGTGGAAGAATAAGCAAGTTTGTCCGGTTGATCCAGGAAATAGAGACCATTTTCTGCACTACCACTGCCAATTGTCCTCCTTGTGACAAGGTCCTGAAAAAGACAATGATCAGGGAAAAACGTCACACTACAATTCAAATCCTGGGTAAGACGACTCAAGGATAACAGATTAACAGAAAAATTGGGAACATGGAGAACAGAAGATAGATGTATGGTAGGAGTGACTTGGACTAAACCTTTTCCAGAAATGGAAGAAACAGTACCATCTGCAATCCTAACATTGTTCTGACTTGAAGAGGGTTTATAGATAGAGAAAAGATTAGAGGAGCCAGACATATGATCGGAGGCACCAGAATCAATAATCCAAGGCAAAGACTTATGACACAGGAAAACACAAGGAGAAGAGGCTAAGTTACCTGAGCGGACAAAGGACGAGGAAGCTATACTGAGACCAGTAGAAGACCGGCGGTCCAATAATTGGCGCAAAGCATCCTCCAGCTCAGTATCAGAAGCTTGGTCAACAGAAGCAGAATTAGAATCCAGTGTATCAACGGCACTAGACTGATGAGCCCAGGAATAGGAACCACGTCCTCTAGACTGGCCTGACCGACCTCCTCGAGAACCAGACCGATCACCTCGACCCCCGGATGGAGTCCCATGAAGCTTCCAACACGTCTCACGAGTATGCCGCGACTTCTTGCAATAATCACAGAATACAGACTCCTTAGCAGCAGACGGAGGGATGGGAGTCAGGTTGAGGCCATCTCGAGGAGTAGACAGTAATGCTGAGTGGTCAGTAGAGACAGGGGACATCATAGCAGACGGCGACTCTCCTCATTCTGTACATAGGCAAATGCCTCCTGACGTGAAAGAAGAGTGTCCATACCTAGAACTCGACCCCTAATTGGATCATACTCCACATTTAGGCGTGCCAGAAATTTAAAGACCCATTCCCGTGCGATGAACTTCTTGTATCCGACAGAATCAGCAGGGCAAACGGGCTTATAGTCTTCCAGGTGGTCAAGGCGTTTCCAGCCGTTGGTGAGGAAAGTGAAATACTGAAAAACAGTTTGCTCTCCATGAAGTGAGCTCTCAATAGAGCGGCGCAACTTAGAGGCCTGTGAGAAATTCCCTTTGCGGGAATAGGTGACAGCCACAGCATCCCATACATTCTGGGTAGTCTCCATAGACAAGTAGCCCTCACAAATTTCAGGAACCATCGAATGAATAAGCTAACCCATAATCAAAGAGTTAGTAATCTCCCATTGGTCATAATCCGAGTCAGTAGTACTAGGTGCCTGTATTCTGCCATCAACATACCCTATCTTCCCTCGGCTCTTCAAAAATATAGTCAAACTTTGAGAGCATATTAGGTAGTTCTGACCATTAAATAAAGAGGTGGTGATTTTCAAACTAGGGTTGGGGTTCTCAGTCATGGTAGTAGGTATAATGAGACTCTCACTCCTCGGTGTTTGAGAAGTAGGGGACACACTAGTGGAATCTGCCATGGATACAATACTATCGAACCCTCAACAAAACTAGTGGCAATCACAAACCCGGAAGGTGGTGGTAAAAGAATAGGCACAATGACCACTATAAAGGCATAACAAAATTAAGAAACCATAAAATTTTCTTTTTTTCTTTTTTTCCTTCTTTTTTTTTGTGTTTTTTTTAGTATTTATTTATATCTTTATATATGTTTTATACACGACATAGTGGGATGAGATACGGGTACACGACATAGGTTATACCAAACAGAGATGAGAGTATACCAGAGAGAAGGAGATCGACGCAGACCGACGAAGATGAAGGAGATCGAGATCGATGAGCTGCTGAGGAGATCGACAAGCTGAGAAGAACGACGAGGTGAGGAAGACGAAGCGGAGATCTATGCAGACCAACGAGCTGAGAAGAACGACGAGGTGAGAAAGACGAAGCAGAGATCGACGAAGGCAGATTGATCGATCGACAGAGGAGGTCGACTGAGAGACGAAGGCGACAGAGGAAGGCGACTGAGTGACGTAGACAAGGTTCTGAAAAGCGGTTGCGGTTGCCGGAACGGTGGCGGTGACGCGGTTGTGGTTGTGGGAAGGCCGTAGTGTAACGGTTGCGGTAACCGGAACTGTGAATTTTTTTATTTTTCGCACAATTTGAAAAAACTTACCGATACGCATATTTTTTTTTCATGATCATATTTATTGGGTTAAAAATAAATATTGATCAATTTTTGTAAATTTTTAAGTATGATCCAACATATTTCATATTTTTAAATCATTATAAACTGAGTTGTTTACATTTTATTTTAATAATTAATAACTTTATATTATACAAAAAATCAATCACTAACTATTATATATAAGATAAACAATGACAAAAGTAAGAGAATAAATAAGAGCCTAAATATATATATATATATATACATATTTTAACCAAGCTAAATAGATAATGACCACACTTATTATTATTATTATTATTATTTTCAAACAATATATAGATAGATACACACACACAAACAAAATGGTTTAGTGATAGCAGCTGAATAGAATAGCATAGGTCTTACAGTTTCAACAAATCAAGAATATGTTCTTCTCTTCCTTCTTCTCTTTATCCATCTTCCTCTATTTTCAACTTTTTTTTGTGTGTTTTTTTGAAAGAAACAGTTTGAAACCGTTACGTAACGGTGCGTAACAGGAATTTTCGTTTCAAAAATTCCAGCCTGTAATGGCACTAAGTTGGACACTTAGTCTCAGCCAAGTATGTATACACACACACACACAGAGTGTTATAACAAGTAAGAATAGGCAGCAAGTAATTACAGGAAAAATCCCAACCTTTATTGATTGCACCAACAATACAAAGGATGCCTATGGAACTCTTACAAAACACTTAGTTAATTTTCGAGTTCCATGGCTGATGCCTAAATAGGCTTACAATCAGTTTTAACTTCCAACCAGCATTACAAGGAAAGCATGCCAAGTGGCATGGCAGTTGACACCCCCCACTGCCTAGGGACTTAGGAACATTTCTGGAGCATAACTGCTCTTAACTGCTGCTATATTTCAGCCTCTGTTCCAGATGTCCTGACTTGCCTTGTCTTTGCCCATCATGGATAACTGCTGCTAACTGACATGCATAACTGCTAGGAACTGCCATGTTGTTTGCCTCATCAAGTCAGCCACGAATTTGGTTGCCTTAGCCTCCAGACCAAGTTTTTCCTACTGATTGTTTTTAACCCCCAAGTATGCTGCAGCCCACATTCGGGTCATGTTAATGCCTTGCATCTGTGCAACGGCTGCACATACTTTGGCCAAGGGTTGTGCTGCTGCCTCAGCACTTGGACAACATTTTACCTTGCTGTCTTGGCATGCCTCCCTCATGCCTTGGTCTTGGTTGGTCATGGGCACAAGGCACAAGGTGCTGCCAATGCCAATGCCAACCATGCAGCCTTCAAGTAGAAGGTGCTAACAAACCACCCCCACCAGAAGAAGCCGACGTCCTCGTCGGTAAAGCCTCTAAGTAGTCCGTAATTTGCTTCTCAAACTGCCATAGAGTCGACACACCTGTGAATCTCAATCAAACTGCAAAAGCGGCCGTAACGGGTGGCGGTAACCGCCAAAACCGTTACGTAACGGTTGCGACCGCTTTTTAAAACCTTGGACGTAGAGGAAGCAGAGATCGACGTAGACCAACCCAGGTAAGTTTTGAACTCGAACCCCAGAGTGTCGCTGGTGTCGAAACCCTAGAGGTCCTGCTCTGACACCATGAAGCTTGTAGGGATTAACCAGCTTAGGGTTTGATAGAATATCATCCCCTATTTATAAATGAAGATTAGGGTTTACAAGATGAGACAATTACAAGTCTAGCCCTGAGAGCATAGAATAATTACAAACCAAAAAAGCTCAAATAATAATATAATATGCTAACAGTTCTATCTACAACAATTTGCATGGTACAATATAGCAATAAATTATTATTCTCTTAGTCGTTAGCTAATGGGGTTATGTGCAATTTATGTGAATGTGCTCTTAGGTAGTTTTCAAAACCATTAGACATGGATTCTGATAAGGCCAGGTGAACTTATGGGTTTAATCATTTTTGTTTTTCAAACCCAAAACTGAAAGTCATGTCCTTTTCTATTTTAAAAATGAGGTTATTTTTTAAATGATAGTAATTTGGCCTGTAATTTTATGTTGGCCTGCACATTTGTTAATTATGCAGTTACTTTAATCTTATTGTTCTGTTTTTCTATATTATTATGGATCTGCATGAAAAGAAGTTGTTTCCACTAAAAAGATACAACATGCTTGTATAAATATTAAATTCTATTACTGAAAACTGCTTTATTTCATGCAATTGTTCAGTACTACTGTTAGCTTCTAGTCAGTGAAGACTAGAACCTGAGATACTTTACACACTGATAATTTAATTGAAATAAAAGTATCAAATAAACATGTTTAATATTCTTAAAAAGCAGGGGAAACACACCAAAATAAAAAAAAAAAGATGGTGAAAAATGATTGAAGCAGAAATACACATTGAAGTGCTTATTTTCAGTTCTAATCTTGAAGTAGGATAGTGTATAAGGTTTCAAAATTGTTCAACTCAAAGACCATGCTCATCTTTGTTTAATCCTTCTGACTGTTGATGCTCATTTGAGTATTGTGGTTTAAAGCATTCAGGTGGCATCTGACCATTGAATCGCTTAGTATCTTTGCAGTAGTCATAGATCATGTAGTTATCTCTAACCCACTTCATCTGACCCTGGTTAGCGTAGCTCAATTGACTATACGCAGGTGACGTCCACCAGTTAGCAGCGGTTTGGGAGGCGCATTGACTAATGCTAACTGGCCCATTCCACTTGCAAGCCCTTGCCCTAAACTGGTTGTATCAGACTATGAAGGGTGCACAGCTCCAGTCGATCTTAACAAGGCCACCTCTTGTTGCCCAGTTATCAGCATTCCATAAGCTGGAGTACACCCTCATCCCTTGTTGGTTTGGGTTGGGTAGGGAATCCCCTCATTCTCGTAGTTTCTGAATACTCGAATAGACAGGCTATCGACATACCACCTGTAACCATGGCGACGAATGCAAGGTTTAGCAAATTTATATGGACTAGGTTGTTAAATATACAATTACATTGGGAAGGTGAACAGTGATTTCTGATACAGACTATAAGGTTGAATTATTGAAGTGATTTCTGTTATCAAATCTAAAAGGTTGAATTATTGGTGTTTAAGTTGGTAACATCTTCAAGTTCTGTAGAGCAATTTTCGTCTGACGCTATAGGGAGGTAAATATGAATTTTTTGGAAACAAAAACGGATAGTTACGTACAGAATTTGTGTTGGGTTCCAATGAATGGTGTAGTTGTGGAAATCAGCAGTTGGGTCAAACCAGGGGTGGAATTGCTGGTGTCTGCTCCCTTTTCCTTGTGTAAAGATATTCATGTGGATAATGTAAGGTTGTCCTGAAACGTTACCTAAGAACTCAAAGTCTCTCTCATCGTGCCAGTTCCCAGTAGAGGACATCTGCGAGCAATTAAGAAAGTAGAGTTTTCAAATTAGGGTCAGATTTTTCAATAATGTCGGGCACTTGCAAAGTGTTTTAGAAAGAAATTGAGAAGGAAATATCTATATTTTGTAGGACACTATATGTTGATAGCCGAACTCTGGCACTTACATACTGTGACAGTTCCAGCAGAATTCCCAGGTACTAACTTGATAAGCATTTCAATGCTTCCAAATAGAAATTGTCTCTTTGTTTGAACACCAGAACCTGAAAACCAAAGCCAGAGCAGTAGTCTGTTTAGAGCTAGATAGGTACCAAGACAAGTTTGAATTAATAACTTGTACACATCTATAGATTCAAAATACCTAGTTGGAAATAGTTCCTTTACTAAAATGATCAATTTCTAGACTTCTCCAAGCTATCTTTGGTTATCATAGATTGAATCTTCCTGATAATTTGATTCATGTTGTGGATTCCATGAGCATTCATCAGATTTCATGTCCTGAGAGTTTGCCTCTTGTGTCACTTCCATTGTGCATTTTTCACATCAAGACAAGAGAGAGATTTTTCTACGGTTTGTATGACCTCTTACTGGTATGAGACTTTGACTATATCACCCAAGCTTGATCATATGGTGATATAAGTGACTATGTTTGGCTGTGTCTTCACTTTTTGTTTTCTTTTTTTTATTTTGTGTTTCTTCTATTGTGCCGTTCTCGTAGATGGCATCAGCAATGCATCAAGAGAGATTTTTCTAGGGTTTGTATGACCTCTTATTGGTACGAGGCTTCGACTGTATCACCCAAGATTTGATCATATGGTTATATAAGTCACTCTATTTGGTTGTGTTTTTGGTTTTTATTTTCTGAAAAATACAAAAAACTTGTTTCTTTTTCGGAAACAGAAGTGGGTTGTTTTCAGAAAATTTTCTTGAAAACAGTTTTGGAAACAGTTTGCCAAACAAATTTTTTTTCCGTGAACTTAGTGGACCTGTATGGTCCGTCAATTTTTGTGACATGAATGTGCAGCATTGCTACCTTACACAATATGTACACTTACAACTTGAATGTCACAGTAATATGTTATTTTACAAGCACTAGTATTTTCTTTGTGTAAATTTTATGTGATCATTGTTACTAAACTACTAATTTGCAAATGTGCAATAAAAAATTATCAAATATGAAAGCATTTTTACTTCAGATCATCAAAAGTAATAATGAAAAGCCGACAAGGATTACCTGAAGTTTGATCCAACACCAGCTGAAGATCGTTCCCATTGTTTGTCATTGAAGAATGGTGAGCACCCCAGTTGAAGTACATGCTTTTGGGAAAGTTGGCATCAACAGATGCCGAATAAAATGCAATTGCAGAGATGAACAAAGCGATGAACAGAGCTCGTGAACTTGCCATTTTAACCCCGATGAAGAATTCTCTTCTATGGAGATGAAACTGTTGATGCTTTTCTTCCAGGTTTGAAATGTCTTTATATAGCCTGTAACCAGCAGATGAGCCTTTCTGAGACTACTGAGTATTCAGGTAGTTTGTTCCTCAATAGGCTGACCCTGTCATGGTTCTTTGACATCCTTAACACTATTATTTGAGAACGAGCTCTTTTTGTAGTAAATGAATAATGGAAATCTAGTAATATGTTGTTTTTCTTTTTTAAATTAATCATGTTACAACACATTTTTACGAGCATTATGGCAAAATTTTATTTTTTTAAAAATGTTTTTGTTATACTAAAACCCCACTTTCTTTAGGTTTTAATTTAGGGTTAATTACACTAATAGTCCTCATAGTTTTGGACTTGTGTCACTTTAGTCCATGACTTTTCAATTGTGACACATTTGACCTTGAATTTTGAATCTTGTTCCAAACAAGGACAATTGAAAATATTATTAGATTTTTCAAGGATAAAATCGTTAATTTGATAAAATATAAACTAATTTGACAAAAATAAATATCATAAAAGTATTTTTAATTTTTTTAAAATTATTTTTATCCACCAATGATAAAATTATGTAAAATGAATAAAAATTACATGATTAATTTTTTAAAACTAATTTTACATGATCATTATCCAAACACAATAAAAATTAATTTGGGAAAAATAAATAAATAAATGTCTAAAAGATTTATCAATTTTACAAATGTCTTTATATAGCCTGTAACCAGCAGACGAGCCTTTCTGAGACTACTGAGTATTCAGGTAGTTTGTTCCTCAATAGGCTGACCCTGTCATGGTTCTTTGACATCCTTAACACTATTATTTGAGAACGAGCTCTTTTTGTAGTCAATGAATAATGGAAATCTAGTAATATGTTGTTTTTCTTTTTCAAATTAATCATGTTACAACACATTTTTACGAGCATATGGCAAAATTTTATTTTTTTAAAAATGTTTGTGTTATACTAAAACCCCACTCTCTTTAGGTTTTAATTTAGGGTTAATTACACTAATAGTCCTCATAGTTTTGGACTTGTGTCACTTTAGTCCATAACTTCTCAATTGTGGCACATTTGACCCTAAATTTTGAATTTTGTTTCAAATAAGGACAATTGAAAATATTGTTAGATTTTTCAAGGATAAAATTGTCAATTTGATAAAATATAAACTAATTTGACAAAAATAAATATCAGAAAAATATTTTTAATTTTTTTAAAATTATTTTTATTCATCAATGATAAAATTATGTAAAATTAATAAAAATTACATGATTAATTTTTTAAAATTAATTTTACATGATCATCATCCAAACACATAATAAAAATTAATTTAGTAAAAACAAATAAATAAATGTCTAAAAGATTTATCAATCTTACATAATTTTATTTTTAGTATGTAGAAATAATTTTTAAAAATTTAAAAATATTTGTTTGACATTTATTTTTGTCAAATTAGTTTATATTTTATCAAATTGACAATTTTACCCTTGAAAAATCTAATTATATGTTTAATTGTCTTTATTTGAAACAAGATTCAAAATTCAAGGTCAAATGTGTCACAATTGAAAAGTCAAGGACCAAAGTGACACAAGACCCAAACTATAGGGACTATTTTTGTAATTTGTCCTTTAATTTATTATATCATATTTGTCATTCCACCTATGATAAGTTTTTAAGGTTTATATCGGAAAATATTTTTAGAATCGTTTTAGAAAGAAAAATGCATAATATTTTGGAGCGTGCGTTTCAAAACATAAATAATTAACATATTAATATTTTCTGATAATACTTCTGTCATGTTTTTAATCAGCAAATCAAAGAGGTAAGAATTAATGTTTGTTTTATTTAGAGATAAATATTTTCAACATGATAACACGGAAAATAAACAGGTCAAGTTAGTATCGCATAATATGAATTTGGCACGATTAATCAGTTAAATTTAATTATTATATAAATACAAACTTATCTATAGCTAATAATATTTCTCTCCTCATTACATATAATAAAATGCAAATTCGTCAATTCTTAATTATTTGTGTGTTGTTTTTTTTAAATATGAGTTGTTTTTTAATTTACTCGAAACCTGTCACTGAAATTTTTGTTTTATATTAAACAAGATCGATGAATTAATCATGTCACTCGTATCATATTTTGTGTGAGTATGATACGACATGAATACGATGCGATTCTCACCTCCAATTGTATTAGACTAAAAAACTAGTCCCATGATTACAAACACATGGGATGTTAATGTGAAGAAAGTATAAGAAATGTGGAATGGCCTATGTTGAATGTGTAGCACACAGCTAGGACGTGGTGGTGGGTTGGGTTAGGGAAAGAGGACGTGCATCAGACGTGGTGGTGGGTTGGGTTTAGGGAAAGAGGACGTGCAATGCAAGAAGACTCCTGAAATATGGGCTCCGCCTAAGCTCCACTTCCTCCTATTGATTGATCTTGCCCAAAATAATATGTTTATTTGGTACAGCTTCATACAAATCAAAAATTAATATTCAAAAGCAAAATTAAATTTACTTCTTTCCATACTTTCTAATTTTCATAAAAGTGTTTTGCACTCTATACAATTTGTAGAGGGTAAGAAATTATGGTCCAAATTAAATATGAGCCTAAGTGCTGAGGCCATCCCTTTTAGGTGACCAAAAATGACTAAAGAAGCATGGGCTAAAGCCCAAGGGAAGTGGGTTAACAGTGGGCCGAAGCAAGTCCGACCAGCCAAAGGTCTGAATAGACTCCATGAAGGATAATGTCTAAGTGAAGTTGCAGAGGCAACACTTGCAGCGGTCAAGCTGCTGAGGCACTTTGCCTTACCACCGCCATTCCTGATATTGTCGGTTCGCCACCATCTGAAGTTGCTGAGGAAAAGAGAAAACCGACGCAACTAAGTTGAAGAGGTAACACTTGTGACGGCCAAGTTGCGGAGGCACTTTGTCTCAACGCCGCCATTCCAAGTATTGTCGGTACCGCAGCCACCTAGAGTTACTGAGGGAAAGAGAAAATCGAAGCAACTAAGTTGCAGAGGCAACACTTGCAGCGGTCAAGTTGCAGAGGCATTTTGTCGGCGCCACCATCTCTAATATTGTCGGTTCTGCCATCTGAACTTGCTGCGGGAAATGACTACCACAGCAACTACAACCGCAACAACTAACTTACAGAGGGACACCCTCCCAAGGTGGTAGCAGCCTTTGGAAGAAGTTTCCTCTCCACAAGTAGAGGCTAATACTTGGTGCTAATAGCAGGCTCTGAGGCATTATTGGCCTAGGACTGATAGCAGCCCTCCCTCCCCCCCCTCCCCAAAAAAAAAAAAAGTCGTTTCTAGCTCGACGCTTATAATAGGCCCCGAAGCTCACTAGCTTGGCACTGACAGCAAGCTCCGAGGCTTACTGGTTGGAGCCAATAGCAGGCTCAGAAATACCATTATATTGTGGTGATCCCTTAAAGATAGAAGCAGGGTAGCCCAAGTGTAAGGGACTCCCTTTTCATTACCCAGGTCATGGACTTGTCTTAGTCGCATAGACAGGACTAAGGAAGCCCCCTTAGGCTTGGTACTAAGGCACAACATGGCTGATAGTAGACTTGGCTATAGCCTTCGCCCTAGAAAGCTGGGGGGTTTGTCGTTAGGTGGCTAAGGGTTGAGGCTTCACTGAGGTGAACACGAAAACATGGTTGATAGCAAGCTATGAAGTCTTGAGAACGCATGTAGTGGCTAAATAGAACTGAGAAGGCAAGTGTAGCAGCAAGATTTACCGCTGCAAGTGCACTTGCTAGGGCTCAAGCTGAGAAGGCAAGTGCAGCGGCAAACACTCTCGCCGTAACTGCACTTGCTGAGGCTTAAAAGGTAGTTGTAGCGCCAAATACTCCCGCCGCAATTACACTTGCTAAGGTATCTATGTCAAACAGATATTACACAGTACATGTAGAGGAACGCGTGGTACCTTCAGCCTGGTGGCTTAAGGCAGAATATTCTATGTGATCCTTGGAGACACATGTCTTCTCTCTATTTGGCCACTTGGTGTCCTCTTAGCACCAAGGAAAAACATATAAATAAGACCCATTTCCCAAGGTCTAAAAGGAGGATCATTGAGGATTTGGAAGAGATGTTGGCAATTTGTGCACTGCCATTCATTTTTTCTCGAGCTACTTGTTTAACCCTCACCTAGCTACTCAACCTCACCATTGTTGGACTATTAGCATAGTTTTTCCTCTCTAATCACTACTCACACCGGACACCTCCCTACACAATTCAATATGGAACTCCCATATACAATTCAACCAAACAAATCTATAGGCAAATCTAGCTAGAGTTGAGTGTTCCTCAAACCAAGGTTTAAGAAACTCAAACCAATTAGACAACCATTCACTTTTTACAAACTCGTACACTTTTTGGCCTCGTTTGGGAAGTTAGCTATTTTAGTACGCTATTTTGGTTTTGAGCTATTTTTGTAGGTTAAAATTTTTGTGTTTGGGAAGATAGTTAGATTTTTTTGTAGTTGGATGTGATATTTGTGAGAGAAAAAGTGAAATGATTATGGGTTTGATGTGATATTTTGTTTTATTAGTTATTTTAGCTTATTTTGTCTTTTTACAGATTTTAGCCGGAAAAAAAAGCTAAAACCCAACTTGCTAAACAGCATCTTTACAAACTCATTCATGCTCAAACATCACTACTGCATATACTTTCGACTTTCACCTCTAATGTGAGCATTTCCATTCCATGTAATAATTTTTCTTTTAATTAAAACACTTTACCCCTTCAATTGTTGTCCCATAACACTTTTACCACGTATGCAAAAAATAGTAACACTTAACCCCCTAATTTATAATTTTTTTCCAATTCAGACTTTCTTTGTTGAAAATACCCTTTCAATTAACTATATGGGCAAATTACACTTTACCCATAATCATCATTCAATATTGAGACGGGAGTTTGCGCCAAGCAAACGGGCCGAG